TGCAGATTTCCAATTTATGATATTTTAGATTCCCAATTTATGATATTTTAGATTTCCAATTTATAATATTTTAATTTTTACAACAATAACTGTAAATTTCCAATTTTTAATATTGTCGATTTCCAATTTTCGATTCGTTAAAATCTCATTAAAGTATACAACAAAAGACACTATCATCAAACAAAATAAATTACAAATGAGAATAGAAACCTCCACTAATAAAAATAGATGGAATATTCATTTTTTCATGAAAACAAACATTATCGACAATACACTGTCGTTACACAACAGTATCAATAAGACACACAGACACATACTCACACAATAGGCCAAAACTGTAACATTTTCCACGTGACAAACCAGCAGCAAGAAGGCCAAGCAACCAGCAACCAAGCATGATCGCTCAATGGGAACGGTGGCAGGTGATCGTGAGGCTGCGAACCAAGGCAAATATTTGCCCTGGTATTATTAATGCGATCGCCTGGGCCACTCGACGAGCCAAAATGTATGACAATGACGCCGATTCGAGGCTGGCCGATTATCAGCCCGCAGCGTACACGATCCTCGCCATAGCCAGAGGCCGTAGCCACCCTTTTAGAAGCTACTCGATTATCCTTTTAGCGATTTTGGGAAATTGGAGGAGAATCGGGTATGAAAGTGGAAGGAGTGTGTAAAAGCCTCGCGGCAACACAATTTGTGGGGTTGTGGAAAGGTTTCGAGGTTGAATAACACGTTCACCTGATGTTCACGGTTTATCGACATAGATTTATTGATTTGTTCGAACATCTTTATTGTTAAACGGCTTCTTCTTCTTTATGGTACAAGTTTTTTTTTTTTAGTTGATTTTTGTTGAGATGTGTGCATTATACGAACATCATTTAATATTTAAATAGAGCTCTGGTTCACAAAAAATGTGTAAATAAGAAGTACGATACTTTCAAAATCACAACACTATTACAATAGCTGTTTGACAATTATTGTAGCATACCTGAAATGTTTATAGAAGCATTCAATTTTATCAAACAAAAAATGATAATAATTGAACAAATGTTGCGAGTTATGATCTAAACGTTCGATCAATTTTTTCCAACTGATCAAGCAAATTGAAATGAATTTATAAAGAGAATTGTCAAACAACTGAAAACCTTGGC